CGAAATCGGACTTTAACCACGCCCACTTACCATATAACGGTAATTTCCAGAAATACTAAAACTGCGATATTTTAGTAACTAATGAAGATAATTCACTCAAAATTGATATTTATAATAAGTTTTAGACGAAAAATAAGAATATTATAAATTTTTGGAAAATGGGCGTAGCCACGCCCACTTATGGTTACATGTGTATATCTTGGTAACCGCTGCACCAATTTCTTCCAAACTTCGCACAGTTGTTGGCCTTGGTACAGCATAAAAAATCGCCGAAACTTTTTAAAATCGCCCAATAACCACGCCCACATCCCATATAACGGTAATTTAGAGAAATACAAAATCTTCGATAAATCATTAAATATTGAAATCGGACTAAAATAACGGCCGCTTCTCATATAACGGTAAATTTCAGAAATGCTTGAAACTCCTATATCGAAATTGAAGGACGCTAATTTACTCAAAATTGATACACCCCGGCTTACCATCTAGCGGAAGGTTTCGGAAAGGTGAAAAAACATATATTTAATACTTGCGCCGGGTATTTAATGTTCGGCTCCGCCCGAACTTAGACTTTCTTACTTGTTTTTACTGCAACTTATAATTTGAGTGGAATTATTGCAATTTTCCAGTAGTGTGCTAGTTGCGCAATAAACTGAGATGACTCTTGAAATGGTTTCCTCATTTTCGATAATTTGCAAATTTAATTGAAGAGGAAAAGCTGTGCAGAGTGTGAGTACAGCACAAAGCCGTTTATAATAATGATACAAAAAACTAGTAAATTTTTGACTTTTATTTGTTCGATCAAGAAAATAAATGCATACGATATTTTGCAAATATATTAGCAAAATTTTCCCGGAATACCTTGCCTTTTATTTTTAGGTATTCACGACTTCCGAAAAATTCAGAGAAACTCCAAAAAAATCCGAAAATGTCATGAAAAATATCGAATAAATCTGAAAAGTCGCGATAAATCTCAAATCTCCAAAAATCCCAATAAATAGCGAAGATGCCCGAAAATATTAAAACAAACGAAAACCCGACTTCAAAAAAAGAGAAATATTTTTGTATGTATGTTACCGAATAACTTTGGACCATGTGAACTGTTTTCGATTATTCGTTTTTCTTCCAACTTTTTGAATCTTTATATCTCGGAAACGATGGCTCTTAGGACAAAAAGTATTTAGATATTTTTTATAGACAATTATCGGATATATAATTTTTGTCTAAACTAATTTTATGACAAACTTTCCGTTTTGCTAAAAATCGCGAAAAACTCGTTTTTGTGACCTTTGACCCCGAGTAACTTTTTTTCCAGGTATCGGATCGATAAGGACTTTTTAGATTTCATTTATGATGGTGTTTTGAACAATCCTACCAATTTTCAGCTGGGCGGGAATTTTTGTTTTCTGGAATGTCCAAATTGACCGGACTATTAAAAAACTAATTCAGTAAAAGTTTTGAATATCAAGTTTTCTTCCTTTTAAAGAAGCTTAAATCTTCTATAACATTAAGTTCAAGTCCTACACCCTTTTTCCTGAACAAATAAAAAGTAGGCTTGAATATTAAATTAGTTTCTGCGATGCCGTCCTTTTGTTGCATTGTATTCAATTTCCACTTGAATTACGCAACAAAAAAATTACAATTCTTTAAAGAAGAAATAAAAAATCCAAAACAATGGAATGGCATGAAAAACTAACATAAAACGCACTAACGTTGAACAAAGCCTGCACTTAACACCACAGGCGGTAAGAGCCGCCTATGTGACCATGCAACGGTCGACAAAACCCAGACTAACGTTGGCCGTGAAGCGACAATGCGTCTGATGAGCGTCAAACGCAGATGCAAAGTGCATTAAACTTGCACTCAAAGAGGCGTAATCAATTTAATTAGTCAGCCTTTTGAGTTGCTACAAAAGTCACGAGCATAAACGAATCGTAGTAGAAGCTCTAGCCAGCAAAGTGTGAACACGCAAGGCATAGAATTTAGGAACAAAGCGAAGAAGTACTAGTGAAAAGGGGTAAAGCGAGAATAAAGCAAACGCCAAAGGGGAGAAATATTATTAAATAGAAAATGCCGGTGGCTATGTTGTTTTTATTTGGAGATGGGGTGCAGGCGAAATATTGAAATAATACCTGCCTTATCTGCAAAAAAACTGAGGAGGAGTATACGAATGAAGTGCAGAAAATCGAGTGCACCTCCTAAAGAAAGGGAGTGAGGAGTGAGGAGTGATGAATGCATTTGCAGCACCGAGTGATGGCTGCTAAAGTGCTGAGAGTGGAAAAAATTTAAAAATTTATTGTTGCTTGGGTAATTGCATTTACGTGATTGAGTGTTGTTCATTCGCTGTGCATAACGAGGAAGCCGCACAAAAGGTGTTTGCATGCATTGTTGGGTTCAGAAACTCGCTATGGACCTTCATAATTGTTTACTGCTGAGGTTTTGATGAAAACTGCATATCAGGTTGTTATTTGTATGTATATATTAACTTAATGCATTTAATTTGAGAGTTTTTTTAATGATTTCCAAAATTAAGCGTTTTTAACCAATAACTCTGCATACTGTTACGAATTTAACTTCTCAACCTATAGATACGTATATGCTATCGAGTGTGCCTAAAAGCAAGGCATATTCAACAAGGTAGAAGTGACAACCCAGTTGAGCTCCCTCATAGCCGACTAATTAATTAATCCTTTGTGCTGCGCGTGCCATATTTGCTTACATATGTATCTTAAAATCAGCTTCATTTTAATAATTATTGCATTTTCATTATGTATATGTACTTTCTTGGCAATTTTGTTGTTTTTATCCGCCCAATGCCTTTGTGGATTTAATTTGTTATTGAAATACATACTTAACTCTAAAAGAATGCGATATTTATAACAAAAGTTTTGATTCTTCCTCATATTCGGTGGTGGATAATTTTCGCATAATAAACACATTCGGTAATATGATTCACTATAACCTGTACAAATAATAATACGTGAGCTTCATATTAAGCGTCGAATTTAATCAATGAATTTAGTGAAACGAAATTTTGTCTTATTGATTTATGGTCTGATTAGGCATACTTCGCATAACTTCGCGTACGTTTCCAACTGTCATTTTTTATTTACTTTGTATGTACTCCATTACCCATATTAAATGGTAGCGACTATCCTGCGTTTTATAATTACGTGGACAGATGTCTTAAGTATATGGAGCTTATATTAAATGAGTTCTTATGAGCAAAATGGTTAAAAAAAAATAAGTAAAAAATCTATCAAAGTGTCTCAGTTTATATGTTTGTTTCTCCGACTGTCGACTTATCGTCATTGTCGTATGCTGCTTATTTAAGTGCATTGTAAAATTTTAATATGAATAATGTATTTAACAAGATACACTTACTTATGTAATGGTTTTGTAAAGTATACAATTGAATAAAGAAACATCAACTAACTAACTACTCCATTACCCAGAAATTAGCAGAACTTGTAAAAACTTAACGATCTGTTAAGCTTAGATTTTGCCTTACTATTTCTTAAGTGACATTCCAAATGCAGTGGTACCAGTGGTTTTGCGAAGTTATGCGAAGTATGCATAATCAGACCTTTACTCAATTTGCGTCTACGCATCAAATACCAACTTCTATCTAATGATGATATTCCAATCTTTATAGATGGTTCGGAAAGGGATCTAGCGTCTTCTCATAGCCGTTCTAATTTAAGGAAGCTTACAGACTGATGCCCGGTTTTAACAATCATTTTTAGAATTTATCAGACTGTTAAAGTTTAAAAAGGCAAAATTTTCAAACTAAATTGGGATATTCTAAATTTTAACAGTCTTATAAATTTAATATTGATTGGTGAAACCGGGCATTAGTGACTGAGACGCATTTAAGCCCTTAAGCCTGCTTTCACGAGGTGCTAGAACTAGTAATAGCAGGTGAAAAAAGCGGCACACTTGTTGAATATTGCGCTCACTCTGGCTATCATTTGATGAACAACAACCAGGAACTTTTTTAGGCTCCTCAAGCCGAACATACGCCTTTCAGAATAATTCTAACGAGGAACTAAACTATAGTCCATATGTCCGCTAGCTCCAGAGCCACGTATAATTATTTCTGTAGAAGTGGTAAAGGTAAGGAAAAATCCATAGAGCATTTCTGTGAAAATTCCCAGCATTGGAGGTAGCCTGAGTTATTTAAATACATGACGGGATAGGTTTGAAGGTAGGGAGAAATCTACTAGTGCGTCCAATATGCTCTCTATGGGCATCCGCTGAACTCTTGACATGCAGTGTGTCATTTTTGAATTGTAGTTCCTTTCTGTACGCAATTTTCCACATTTTTTAGTTGCTTCGATTTTTATATTCTTATTTGAAGCAACTAAATGAGAAAAAATAAAACATGTAAACAGACTTTTAGGCGGTCGCGCTTATTGATGCAAAACTGAAGGAAATATGCACTTTGAATAAGTGTTAGGTAGCAGTTCGCTTTTTCTTTGGACGAGTAGTCAAGGCGCAACTTCAAACGCAATAAAGACACACGCACACACCTATGTATGTACACTTGTCCCCTATTTACATGCATATTTTTCTCTCAAAAATGCTAACACGGCAGAATCTGATGATAGCCAGCACATGGCACTACTTAGATACATACAAGCCTTGTATGTATGTATGCTTGTATCTACATGACTAACCTTGCGCCATGAAGTTGTCAAAGATTACCAACACATGCTAAAGCACACTCAACAGCTTTTATATTTATTTTTGCTGCCACTTTCTCTCCTTTGTCTCCATTTTTTACTCTAACTCTGTGCACGCCTGCACAAAACCTCAACTTACCACCCGCTATTGCGGTGACTTCTATCGGCGAACAATATCCTGCCATGCAACAATGCACGTCAGCAGCAGCACGCACACTTGCACACATCCAACACACAGCAACGCATACAGTCGCACACATTTCCTGTTTACCTTTTTTCACTGCTGTCCTATGCAATTCGTTGACTTTTTGCAATTTATTTTGCAGCACAAAAGTATGCAAGGTTAACCATGTACAACATGAATCGGCTGATGGTTATTGTAGTTGTTGTTGATTCGTTGCCACCGCTACCACTGCTGCTGGCACTACTGCCACTGCTGCTACTTCCGTTGATGATGATGACGACATTACGGCCATCAGAGCTGCCAAGCGAGTGCAAATAATTGAACATAGCGAGGCTGTGTTGTATGGCAGTGGTGTGGGGGAAAAATTTTGTGGTCTTGGCAGGCCCGTTGAATGGCAGTGACAGATATGCGCTGCGCAGCGCAATGCGTGATTCGATGTGTATATGAGGAAAAGAATGAGAATGTTACTGCGTAATAATGCATCAGCGTGAGTTCTCCAATTTACATATATGTGGGGGCGTGTTGTTGTTGATTGCATAATTACAGGCGAACAGGCAATTGCGTGCATGTTGACGGGCCACTGCTCCTCATTTGCATTCATTGGTTTATGTAGTTATGTACCCATTGAACAATGATTTTCACTATGCTATGTTTGTTGAATGAACTGGAGTTTTTGCCTTTAAATGATCTGAATTGATTGTTGAGAGTTTAAAATATTATTTTACCATTCGATATACATATTTATATGCTTCTACTAATACAAACAATTAATTCAATATAAATATGTCGCGGAAAACCCTAACTGGTTTCGGAAGCACAAAAGTGTTCAGCTTCTTAGGAACTGAAATACCAGTTTCATTATCATAAATACTAAGGTCCTTGATAGCCGCTTGTATGTCCGTCAATATCAGAATATTTTGGTTCCTTTGTATGCCTCTGTATTCCAATTGCAAGATACTGGTTCTTTAGGATATCGATCTTTCAAAAACTTTAAAGTCCGGGTCTATTCTGTATTGCGGTTCGAAAAGCAAATCATTCGGACTCGAATGTTTGGCGCTATGAATTTGTATTAGACCATGTCTCTTTTCAAATTGCATTCAGTTTCGAATCGAAAAAGAGAGTAGCCCCACTGGATCCGAATATGAAAAGGGGTAAATTATAGAACTCCATACACAGATGCCATTGGACAAGCTTCTAAGGCTTCAGTTATTTATACGCATGCTGGCTTTTATATATTAGGTCGCACCATCACCATGTATTCCCAACTCAGTATTTTCGAGAGTAATGCCAACTTAATATAGCATAATAGTAATTCATATAACACTTTTTTCGTTATTTTCCTTAATCTCTTTCGATAGTGTTTTCTGGATTAATTTTAGCCTCATTTAAATTTTTCTTCTGATGTCGACATTCAAACCTTTCCAATAGAGAACAGAATTGTTCTCAAATTTTTTTTTTTCAAACTTGGCACTACCTCATTTGTTCATATTTTAACAACCTACATCGTTCACTCTCTTCGTTTATTGAACTGCTGACTGTTTTTTTTTTATTATGCGATATTTACAAGTAGGTATGCCCGCTTGTTTATACATATGTGTACATATGTATATGTAGAAAAATGTATATTCATCAGCACGTACACTCCAGTGCAGCTTGCTTGCACTCGTCCATTTGGCCTTGGCTTAAAGTGCATCGTAAAGCGATTAATTTTGCGAAATGGCGTTGGCCCAATTTGAGGAATGGAAATTTCAAGTATTCTCATTTGCATTTACCCACTACGCTTTATACTTGCTTGAGCATTTCTAGCTCAATTGATTGGAATAGTTGGCTCTTGTGTATGCTTGTATATGTGAACATACATACCTACACATTTTCACATAGTATGTATACTAGTTATGTATGTATGTAAATTGAAGTTGAAATAGACATGCCATTGTAATTGAGTTGAACAAGAAAATCCAGTTCAAGGATAATGCTAAAGTTGGTAGTTTGCACGTAGATTGACTTTTTCGGGGTTATTGTATGTTTTGATTGCTTGCACTTAGTTGCACTATTTTTAAGTGAAGGGTATAGTGCTATCCACAAGCTGACATAAGGATGTTCCACGTCAATCGGTAGAGTACGATGACCAAAATTCCATGGAACAGATTAAAATCTTAAAATCGTTGGCTAGATGTTCCCATTGGAAGTAGTGTAGCTTTGTTGGAAAATTAAGCTTGGCGTTGAAACTAAAATTAGATTTTGCCTTACAACTTTTGTGCCTCTGAAGAACGCAAAACTAAAAAGTAAAGTTTTACCAAAAATATTATTAAGATCAAAATAGAATAAAATTTCCTATCAACTAATACTCGAGCCAGGTATAGACAAGAAACTTGGATTGCAACTTTGTCCATCCTATATTCCAGCCTAATGGTGGTGCCCCGAAAGATAGCACCAACAAAATTACCATTTACCTTCTAGCCACCCTAATGTACGTGTTCGCTCTTGGCAAAGTTTTAAAAGCTCAGCGCAATTTATATTTATTAGCTTAATATACAGCTCTTATCAGCATTTGCGTTAAAAAGTATGCTTTGTTTTCGCAACTAATAAATCAAATGTTAATAGCACTCAACATATTAGTACACACATAAATATGTATGTATTTAGATTCATGTTTTCTCTGATGATATTTTATGTTCGAATAAATGTCTCAAATAAATGGTAAGAAATATGAAAAAAGTTTTTTCTCTTTTTTCAATAGGTTGAGTAAAAAAAGTTTTAAAACATATTGCATATTTGCTTTAAGATTATACCCTGCGCTTGTTTATTAATATTGAAAATATCAATTTATAAAATGTCTGTCTGCTTTACGCATGACAAAATGGCTTTGTCAAAATTTTGTCATCATAAAAGTGTCATTAAGCGCCAAAAAATATTAAATCAAGAATACCGCACAAATGTTGCTCAACTAATTGGCGTGATTATGTGCCGCCGCAGTTGAGCTTGAAAATTCGAAAAAAAAAATTGCCATAAACTTTTGTTTGACTTAAAAAGCATTGCAATTTCTTAGGCAGCTTTGTTCGAACATCAACGCCCGCGAAATGCGTGACTACATACATACATATGTACACAACGCTGCGTGATATCTCACCAAGGCATTCAGCCAGTCAGTTAACAACTCAGTCTGTCAAGCAGTCACGCTGTCGCTGAGTCAATGAGCTTAGTAGCCAACTTTGCAGAGCACACTGAGCTGATTTGTCATGCGAAGCTC